CACACACACACACACACACACACACACACACACACTAATTAATTAAAAAAAACCTATTGCTCTGAAACAGTGGTTCTGTTAGTGTTGACTAGTGGAAGTTAGCTTGCCTTCAGATAACTGCAACTTCAGAGAGAAAAATCTTACACATTGCCATTTTATTTAAATTGCCTTCATGGCACATAAACAGAGCTTCTCCTATTCAGTCCCAGTTACAAGACCCTGAAGAAATAGTATTTTCCCTATATGAACAATAGACTGATGTAGAGATACTGCAGACTTGTGGTAAGAGCTTGATCATTCCAGATCCTGATACAGAACACAAACACTTTTACTCAGCTCTACTGCAGTTGCATCCCTAGCAGTCATCATTGGATAAACCAGCCCTCACCTCTGCCAGAGTAACTGGAGTGAAAGAAATGTGTAAGACTGAGGTAATACTCAGAGGATAACATGGTATGTGTGGATATGAAAAGGCACCAGAAACTGAGGTAGAAAAGGTGTCAAATTGTCGTGAGATAGTATTGTATTCTGTAACCTTACTAAAATCAGTGACATTGCAACATTTTCAATTTGATATCATTCTAATATTTTGAAAACCATGTGATTATCAACATTTTAGGATTTTTGGTTATGAACTATTAAATTATAAAAGTTACAATCAGGAAAATATCTTAGAGTCATCAAATCAGCTTCATTGTCATCTTTACATCAGGGTAAGGGGAAAGCGGAGGTTTTAACACTTCTGGGAGCATTCTATTCGCTGCCATGATAGGAAGAGGCCTGGTTTTATTTTCCTTGTGTTCATGCTTAGGAAAATGATGGGTAAGGCCTTGTTGGAATGGATGCAAGAAAATGAAGGCTGAGGATGTCCATGAGATTTCCTCATCAATACTATTTATGATTCCAAACCAAAAGACTAGAAAATTTGTCCACTCTCATTGTGATCATTATCTCACATACCATCAGCTTGCATAGAAACCTAAAGAACCCAGGCAGTAGAATAAAATAGAGGAAAACCTGTGAAGAGAAAACACTGACTCAGTAGTGAAAGAAATGAAACAACCTTGACCAATCAGCTAAACAACAAACTGCAGGTAATTCACAGCATAGTGAGTAGATCTCTCAGCGAACAAACCAACAAATACAGAAAGAGGGACATGGGCAGTGACCTGCTTTGTAGCCAAATGATCAAAAACCTGCTTTGATAGTAGGATGGATCAAATGTGTACAGAGCTCATGCATTCATTCAGAAACAAGCACCTACTATGTGTGAAGGAAGCATTGCTCTGGATGATGAGGTTGCAGCTATAAACAAATGGGACTATCCTTTCCCTTGTAGAGTTTATATAACTGTCAGTGTGCAGTCAGTGACATATGAACACCTGCCTCGGAGACTGTGTGATATTGAATGCCAGAAAGAAAAAAACCATTTAAGTGGAAATTAAGATTTTTGTTTAGAGATGGCATTACATCAAGCAGAGTGACCATGGCAGGCCTTCCTGTGAGATGATGCTGGAGTCAAGTCCTGGATGTTGTTGGGGACTGAGGCTGAGTATCTGAGAGATGAGCCCTCTAGGAAGCTGGACCAGTAAATGCCTGATGTTGTATGGGAACCTGCATGCCTGGTGCAGTGTGGAGATCAAGTCAGGAAGAATGCTGATGGATGGAAAGTCCTTTGGAAGACATTCCATTGGTCCAGATCAGCTTGAGGGGAAAGCCATTGACATGTGTTGAACAGTGGGGATGACTTAGCATTCTGTGGATACCAAAGAATTCCTGAAGCAGGCACTTCTATAAAACCAATGTTCACGTGGCCTCTTCAATGGCTAACGGTTGTTCTCTTCAATCTAATCTCATACAGAGCAGTCCCAATGAGCCCACCTTCCAGGGCAGGATATCTATGCAGTTTCGTATATCTTAGGGATAATAAACAGTGATCTCTAAAGTCACTAAAATAGCTTACATTTCGTTAAAATAAATCAAACCGAACCAAACCCAAACCAACAAAACAAAACAAAAATACTTTCAGGGAAAAATCAATCAAGCAAGCAAGACGGAAGGTAGGAAGGAAAGAAAGAATGAAAGATAGGAAGAAAGAAAGGAGGAAAGAAAGGGAGGAAGAAAGGAAGGAAGAAAGAAAACTACTGTTTATTAAATAGTGCTTTGTGTGTGTATGTGTGTGTGCCTGTTTGTAAAACAGTACACGCAGGGTGTAGCGCTATCTTCAGTTTCAGTCAGTCCACTAGGAGTGTTGGAAAGAGGTCTTGTAGTTAAGGGAGATCTTATGTGGTGACAAAATCACCTCTGACATTTACCTCAGATGTACTCAAGTGGATTTAACAAGTGCATTTTTTTGTACTTCCTAGATGCCTGCCGGTGCCCACACTGGCATCAGTTGGCTCTGAAACTCAGCTGTGCTGGGCTGATCCTTCTTTTCTTGAGCCTGATTGGCCTCAGTGTCTTAGGTAAGTGAGACAATTGTTTTTGCTTCGTAATTTCCCACATAAACGTTACTCTTCTACAGAGCATTTGGATACCTTGAGCCTAGGGGAAGGCCAATGACATTGAATGTCACAGGACAACATCTCTTGTCCACTACGGAAACTCCATAATTCTTCCATAATTCTTAATTTTCCTGAGAAACACTATGAAGTGTGTCATATGTGCATTTAGAAAGTAGAAAGATATGTCACAAATGTGACAAAATATGACAAAAATTAAGAAAACTGAAAGACTCCCATATTTATATTACATGCCTTCCAAACCTTCTTTTGGGATGGGTGTGGTTGAAGATGAGCAAGCTCAGGTGTGACTGTGAGCAAGCTGAGGGTTTCAGCAACATCCACAGACTGTCAATCAGATCATATGCAATCTCAGAGCTGTTTGATTCCATGTGTTCTGTGTTTTTCTTGTTCATATATCCAAATTTGTCCCTTAATCTAATTTGCTAGTATTTTATCCCGAGTCCACATTCTTAGGTTTTTTTGAAATAACTTGATTTCCTGAAGTGAGAAATATTGTTTTATCTACATCACAGTGGCTGCCCCTGAATTTCCCAGTGCCTCAGCTGCTGACTACTCCTCCACAGTCACCCATTGTTGTTGAGGCCTGGGGGAGCCTTCACGTCCCACTGTCCACCTCTGCCACTGCCCCAGCCACCTCCACATAGAGAGGCAAATGTCATTTTGACTAAGTCTCTACTTTTTTATTTTACCAATAAAGACTAGGGAGCCAGATGCTGGGGCGAAACCTGCTAGCTCAGAGAGCCAGAGAAAGCAGTTGGCTCTTTCTTTTGTTTTGGAGTATTCCTTTACATTGTATGAAAATGTGCCATTGTTATTGGCTTAATAAAGAGATTAATGGCCAATAGCTAGGCAGGAAGAGGTTAGGCAGGACTTCTGGGGACAGAAAGGTCTCAGGGAAGAAGAAAGGCAGAGTCACCAGCCAGATGCAGAGGAAGCAAGATGGGCAGCACAAAGTAAAGGTAATTGAGCCATGTAAAAGAACATAAAATATGGGTTAATTTAATTTATAAGAACTAGCTAGGAACAAGCCTGAGCTAAGGCTGTGCTTTCATAATTAATAATAAGTCATTATTTGTGTGCTCCCAGACCAAAGAAAAAATGCTGCTACAGCTGTTGTCCTAGAAATAGTTTCTCCTACACCATCTGAAACAAAAATTTCCTCTAACCAGATGTCCCTCCCTTTACTTCCTGGTTGCTTGCTCCATCTCTTGACCTACGGTTCATTTTATCTAAATAATGCAATCTCGGGGTTCCCAGTGTGATCAAATATCCTGCAAAAGGGAAATAAAGTACATGTTCCACCATTTGTTTCAGTATTTGATTCTCTCTGTGTGTTTTCTTATTTACTAGTTCGAGTCCTAGTGCAAAGACCACCAATAGCAAAATACAGTGTGTCTACTCAAGAGAACAAGACTGAACCAACAGGTAATTGTGTGATTTTAATTTCCTGAGAATAAGAGGCGATTTTTGATGTGTACTGTGAGTTACCTCAGTCAACGTTCAAACATCCCTCCATGAAGACACCAGGTAACCATAATTTTGACTAAGAAAACAGGCATAAACTGTTAAGAAGTCATGGAGAGTCATACAGTTTATGATTGTTGGTGCTGGAAACTTCACTGAAGCTGTGTAACCTTGAAGTCTATGATTTAGGCACCTGGCCATGTTGCCTCACGCTGCTGGTGCAAGTGATCCTTCATAGGCAAATATCAAGTTAAGAAGTTGAATATTTGGTTATTTTAATGAACATGTTGAACATTTTACTTTGTCTGGAGTTAATTAATAGAAATAAAACATAAAATGAATGCTTTGCCATTAATATGGATTCTTTGACGCATGACAGCATTAACATTGTTCCAGCATGCTCTAATGAAGCAGCTACTGTGTGGAGTTGATTGTGTTGCAGAAATAATCAAGTCTTCTTTCTTGCTCTAGGGGGATCATCCACGCTAAGGTGCCCGAGAGACTGGCATCCATACAGGGAGAAATGCTTATTTGTTTCCCAAACTTCCGGACCTTGGTCTGAAGGTCTAGCTCAATGCTCCATGAAAGAAGCCACTTTGCTGATCATTGAAAATGAAGAAGAATTGGTAAGTTTCTCAGTTAGAACATGGCACTTTTTAAAAGCCTTGTTGACATCTCTGGAGCTGAACCAATTGTCTATGCTGAGGAGGTGGAGACTTGGATTTTAAACACCCCATAATATGAGATACTAATTGGATTCATGATTTAATAACTGAACATATTGAGGTGACTCAATTAAAAGTGCAAATATAGAGGTATGAGTTTTACAAAGAAGAGAGAATTATGCTGGTGAGGAGGTAGCATGGACTTCAAGTAGCAGGAATAGTGTTTTAGAAGGTTAGTAGAAGAAAACCAGTCATGGATAAACAGATTGAAGATTAAGACTCCCACTATGTTTTGATTATAGAGATTCCTTCATGCTTTCTCAAAGAGAAGAGGACATCAATTTTTTATTGGACTAAATTATGTACCAGTGGAGAAAATCTGGAAGTGGATAAATGGCTCTATTTTAAATCCTGATCTGTAAGTATTAAGTGGGCTAATTTGAATATTCAATTCAAATCCGTATCATTGAAATTTTAATTTTGTAATTTTAATTAAGTTTATAAATTCTCCAGAGGCTCAGAATAGGTTGAAAAGACAGTTTCAAGATTGGTTGAAATTTTCATGTACAAGTAGACATCAACCCTTTATAACAGTGTGTGTGTGTCGTGCACAAGTGTGTTTGTGTTTATTTTCAATGGAGTTTTAAAGCACAAGATTAACTTTGTAGGGGTGGAGATAAAACATTTTAAAATTCCTATCTGGAATACATAGGTTTTTTTTTTCCTTTCTTTTTTTACTTTTATACTTCCTACACTTATATACAATTAAATTATTTTCTTTTACTTGTTTTCTTTTATTTTTGTACACCTGAGTGTATGGATGTGTATGATGTATTGGAAGAGCTCATAAAGGTCAGAAGAGGGCATCCGACTCCCTGGAACAGGAGTTACAGATGGCTGTGAGCTTCCATGTGGGTGCTGGCACTTGAACCTGGGTCCTCGGCAAGAGCAGTAAGCTCTCTTTACCTCTGAGCCATCTCTCCATTCCTACACAAAATCCTTTATGCAGTCCTTCAGAATTGTGGTAAAAATGTTGCACCACAGTGTGTTATGAAATGAGTTTCTCTAGACAGTGTTCACTCTGTATGTTGAATACATTTACTGAGCACCCACTACTGTGTGTAACTCTTGTCATACATTCATGTGCATCTCAATAGCTTTCCTAAACATTAGCAGGTATACCCCATGTATTTAAGAAATCTGTAGCTCAGCAAAATGAAGATGCTTTCCACATGGTCACATGACATGTTAGTAGCAGAATGAGGAGTTTTCACCCCCAATTCCCAAATCTTCTCCCCTTTATACACCATTATGAAGATGTTGCTGGAAGAATTCTTCTCTAGTGAGGGTGAAACTGAAAATTATGGTTTCTATCAGCTGTATCTTTAATGTTTCTATGTGTTTCTAAAGTTTGTTACTGTGTGTTTTCTGTGCTCAAACTCTGTATAATCAACAGTATCCTTAGAAGTCTAAAGAACAATAATGGCTGATGTGATAATTGCGAGAAAATCCTAAACACTAGGTTCAGCTATTCTTTGCTCTTCAGAGTACAAATCATGGGCACTAATGAAGAAAACAGCTGTGCAGTCATCTCACAGACAGAAGTGTTTTCTGACTTCTGTTCTGCCGACAACCGCTGGATCTGCCAAAAGAAATTGAAATATGTCTGAAATCCTGTGTCCTGACTCCTGATTGGGAATCTCACCTCTGCACTGACCTGTCCAGGCTGTCGGCCCTTCCAGCACGGTTAGGTGGCACAAAGCATGGACTATACAACCTCTGTGACTTACAGATGCTCACGTCCAATGTCTATTCTGTAAATATAAATGTACACAGACACAAATGTGCCATTCATTCTAAGAGGGGTGTTCTATAGGAAGAAGCCCAGGCCAGTAGGGGGCACTGGAGGCCTGGTGTGGCCTTTGTTGATCTCTGTCCCTGAGGTCATCTGCAGACAGCTGTAAAAAACTATTTGAAAATCCTCATCTCCATCTTCCACTCCAAGCTATCTCACATCTGGAGAACGCTGATTTTTAATTTTTTTTTTAAATTTTAATTAGAAAGAGGATTATTTCAATCCGAGGTCCCTTTCCCTCTGCCCTTCCCCTGCCCCCCCCAACAAACATCCTACCTATTCCATACCTTTTCTGCTCCCCAGGGAGGGTGAGGCCTTCTGCAGGGGGTCTTTAGAGTCTGTTATATCCTTTGGGTTAGGGCCTAGGCCCACCCCCTGTGTCTAGACTCAGGGATTATCCCTCCATGTAAGATGGGCTCCCAAAGTCTGTTCCTATGCTAGGGATAAGAACTGATCCATTAAGAGGGGCTCTATAGATTTCCAAGGTCTCCTCACTGACACCCACATTCAAGGGGTCTGGATCAGTCCCATGCTGGTTGCCCAGCGATCAGTCTGGGGACCAAGAGCTCCCCCTTGTTCAGGTCAGCTGTTTCTGTGGGTTTCACCAGCCTGGTCTGGACCCTTTGCTCATCACTCCTCCTTTCCTGCAACTGGATTCAGTTCAGTTCAAGGTTTAGCTGTGGGTGTCTGCTTCTACTTCCACCAGCTGCTGGATGAAGGCATATGAATTAGTCATCAATCTCATTATCAGGAGAAGACATTTAGTGTAACCTCTCCTCTGTTGCCTAGATTGTTAGCTGGTGTCATCTTTGTAGCTCTCCAGACATTTCCCTAGTGCTTGATTTCTCTTTAAACCTATAATGTCTCCCTCTATTATAGTATCTCTTATCTTGCTCTTTTCTGTTCTTCCCCCAACTCAACCTCCCTGCCCCATTATGTCTTCCTCACCCCTCCTCTTCTCCCCTTCTCATTCTCCTGGTTCCCTCTCCCCTCCCCCATGCTCCCAATTTTCTCAGGAGATCTTTTCCCTTTCCCCTTCTCCAGGGGACCATGTTTGTCTCTCTTCGGGTCCTCCTTGTTTACTAGCTTCTCTGGCAGTGTGGATCAGGAGTAAGATGGTATCTCAGAGTTGTTTTGATTTGCTTTTCCCTGATGGCTAAGGATGTTGAGCAGTTTCTTATGTGTCTTTCAGCCATTTTAGATTCCTCTATTGAGAATTGTCTATTTAGTTCTGTACCCCACTTTTTAATTGGATTATTTGGTGTTTTGGAGACTAGCTTCTTGAGACCCATCTTTTCACTCCCATATTTACTTTTTACCTTGTTTACATGAAAAAAAATTGCCATGAAACCCAGACTTACAGCTAAGTCTATTTTCTCCCTATTTCTTCATTATAGAAAGGTCTTTATTAGAGGAAATATACACACAGCAGGCATACAGAGATCAAGACCCTCCAAACAGCAGACTGGGAACTTGGGAAGCCAAAGACCATCTCCCTGAGGGCTGGGGATTGTTCATATCTCTGAAGGGTCTTCCTTCCCTAATTTAGGGTTGGTCAGTTTGAAGAGAGATGGGATTGGTGACTGGCTCCAAACTGTTGCATAAACATGTCCTGATCCAGTCTTGAATTGTTGAGCCATTCCCTACCGGCTAGAAAAAAAAAGCCCCCAGGGCCATTGTTGTCAGGTCAGGAGGGTAAGGAAGAAGTCAGCCATCTTGGGTGTTCACCATCTTTACTGCCTAGTCATGGCCCCTCTCCACTGTCTGCCTAGCAGTGAATCTGTCTGTGTCCTAGTCCCTCAGGATATGTGACTATAGGTGATCCCCTTTCTCACATTCTCTCCAGCATAAACTGTCATTGGTGTTTTTGATTTTAGTCATTCTGACAGGAGTAAGATGGTATCTCAGAGTTGTTTTGATTTGCTTTTCCCTGATGGCTAAGGATGTTGAGCAGTTTCTTATGTGTCTTTCAGCCATTTTAGATTCCTCTATTGAGAATTATCTATTTAGTTCTGTACCCCATTTTTTTAATTGGATTGTTTGGTGTTTTGGAGACTAGCTTCTTGACTTCTTTGTATATTTTGGAGATCAGCCCTCTGTCAGATGTGGGGTTGGTGAATATCTTTTCCCAGTCTTTGGGCTGTGGTTTTGTCTTGCTGACTATGTCCTTTGCCTTACAGAAGCTTCTCAGTTTCAGGAGGTCCCATTTATTAATTGTTGATCTCAGTACAGGGGTATCACACTGTATCAAATATGTAAGGTCTTTAAAAAAAAGAAGGGATTTTGAGAGCCCATCCCTTGTGAAGGGATGCTCTCTTGGCCTGGACACATGGGTAAGGGCCTAGGCCGGGCCCAGGATGATGTG